CCCGGACCTGTGCCAGCCACAGTGGCAGGTGGGCACCTCCTTCCAGTCTGGCTGGTGTTTCTGCCTCTACTGAATCTCCCCACCTCGGTGAGGACACCCAGCCCCAGAGGGTGCCTTGCCCCTGAGCTGTGTCTGAGAGTAAAGTAGGTAATTGGCCAGGAGACAAAGGTGGTCTCCTCCTGGAGCCCTGGGCACCGACACCAGGGATTACAGGGCCTCATTTTCTGAATGCTGGTCTAAGGGCTCAGAATGCCCACAGCCAGCCCTGTTTTCCAGGCATGGTGACTGCAACTGTGACTTGTTGACCTCAGATTTGTGGCAACCAAACCCTGAAATCATCAGCCAGACTGATACTTCAGTTGGAGATTTTCCAACATTTTGAGTGCATACACCAGTGATCAACAGAATTGGTTCTTGGGGCCTGTGGTTATCGCAAATGCTTAGAGGTAGAAACATATAAATAGAAGTAGAAAGAAGATGCTCATTTGATTGCTTCTAAATCAATAAGTAGCTTCTTTCACAAAGATCACCTTGAAAATATAGTTGCAGTTATCTGTATGCATTTATATATCATTAGTTGTGTCTGTATAAAATGAACTGCACAGTGTAAGGCAGTGAAAATGTAAAGACGTGTGAACTCTTTGCCAAATGTGAGCGATCACTAGTGAGACTTTCCAAAAGCAGTGCAGGCTTCATGGGTCTTCTCCTTCTGAGTTCGCTGACCAAGCTGTGACCAGAGCAAGGTATCTTGCACAACAGGAGGTGCTAAGGAAGTGAAGCCCATGCGGGGTAGCCTGCTTCCCTTCCCAACAGCCCCTTGTTGAGCAGAGGAGATAGAAAGAGTCTCCTAAGCTCTATAGAAAAATACAGAACGATCTTTTAATGCTTAAGAAATCATGTGGTTAGAAACAACTGTTATTACCTTGATGTTGGGTAAATGTTGGTCAAGTTCAAACAAACTTATACCTTAATGGGGAATGAAATACTATTTAAGTCCAGAACAGGTAATTCTGATTAAGGAATACAAACTTCAAAATCAACTTATTCTGTCATCCCAAGGGTCAAAATGTGACAGAAGTAAGAGAGTAGGCAGTAAAACAGTCATAAGTCTATCCCATAACCAAGGAAGAAAATTAGATTTTTAACCATGCTGCACATCTCATGCTTACTCCAGAAAATATAAAAGGTTGACTACAAATATGACAGCAAATATTTTACAGCATTAAACACTTCTGATCTTCTTTCACTATACATGATGAAATGGCTGCAAATCTCCAAGCCTTGCAAGCAGGTATGTCAAATGTTTAATTTTCTCTTTATTCTGAGTTGTGAGGAAAGATGAGAGAGAAAGAGAGAGAGAGAATATTCCTGGTACCAGGTAGGAAACATCAGCACTGACAGTGCTAAAAATTACTCTTCCAAGAGTACTTGCATGCCAAATGCTTTGCTTGAAAACGTATTAATGTATCAACAAGCCCACTTCCAGTTAACACAGATCACAGGGAAGAGTTCTTCATGAGTTGATGATCTGGGGTTGATACCATCTTGTTCCTCAGTTTAATTAAAATATGGGATTTTTAGGTTTCCCAGTTTTCTTTATTGGTAATATAAATGAATGTATGGTCCCCTTCCTGTGGTGCTGACTATTCACACACAAATTCCTTTCAACTCTTGGTAGGAAGGAAATGTTCAATGTTCTGCTTAGCCTCGCCTCAACTTTAGACATATGAGCTATGTCAAACTCCTTAATATCAGCGTCTTTAGTGTATAAGAGAACAAGGAAAGGGACAATTATTGTAGTGCTTTAGAGATCCACCTTTGTCCTCTCATAAGCAAAACTTCCCATAGTGACAGGCAGGCAGCTGAAAAAGAGATATGTAGGCATCTAATCCTGCCTGTACTGCAAAGGAAGGGCAGCAAACTGGCACATTTAAAATGCTTCCTTCCCAGCATCTTGACAGCTCTTGTTAGCTGCCCCACTTTGACCAGTTCATGAGATTGTGTGCACGCTCTATCACAGACTATTCCCAAGCATTTGGTGAAGAGGAGGTTGAGGAGCAATCCAACAGCAGCTGGCAACTGCTTGAAGGGGAGTAGCAAAAGCAACAGAGCAAAACATTCCTCAGGAGTGGCACTGGGGGACATGCAATAGTCAAAAGTTGCTTTTAGGGAGTTCAGAGGACTTTCTGAGTCCCTTCCAACTAACATTTCTATGATTCTGTGATGTCAGCCCAAATGTGACAGCCCACATAGCTGCATGGTGGAAGTAACAGACGGATTGATGGAATGGTTAGTCACTTCTGGGACTGTTACCCTAAGGACTTTTGGTGGCACACATCTGCCCCTGTATCTGCAGGTAAAAAAACCTGAGGAACAGTGTTAAGGACTACAGAAGAGTTGCAGCAGTGTTTTTATAGGGCAGAATTGCCTGATGTGCCAACATGTGTGTCTCAGTACATTTCATGAGAACAGCAAGCTTTCTAAAGAAAAAACAATCAGTATTTCTTCAATCTGCAGCTGCAGTTATAATTGCTTAGCAAGCTTTGTCTTTGAAAACATGTTTTATTCTGTGGAGACTAATTTTAATCTCAAATTTTGCTGGCTACTCAGTTTTTCATAAAAGTATGGTCAGCACCCAAATCATGTAAAATTACACAGTGTGGGGTTTATGCTCTGGTTTTGCGTTCAATAATTACTACTCTGTAATCAATTTTTACAAATGGGACTGCACCACAGGAATCAAGTCAAGCTTGATTAAAAAAAAAAAAATCAGGTTATGCATTTTGATAGCTTTCTAAACTTCTGAACTAACCTGAAGTCATCACAAAATTTAACCTCCTCCTCCTCATAAATCCAGAACAGTGGATTTTGGCAGGTGTGCAAATGAGCTGGAAATAGCATGTACTTCAAAAGCTTTGCTTTGCCATTTCATCAATCTCACCAGCTGCTTGTTGCATCGTATACTATAGCGCAACAGAGATTATCACCTAAATAATTAGCAATGATATGATGGCATAGCACAGTAATACAGTGGGTGTGTATATATAGTAAAAGTGTGTGGGTATTTTATAACCTGATATGCATGGCTCTTGGATCCCCTTGCTCCCCCACACATGTGAGCCTGTGCATGTCTCCTTGCAGTGCTGGATCCCAAAGCACGGTGTGCTGCAGCGTGGGAACTGCAGGGTTTTCACGTGTACGAGCAGCTGGGGAAAAACAGGCTTTCTTACTTAAAGCCAGCAGTCCCACAGGTATCTGGACAGCCACAAAAGAGGGCAACCTGAATCTGGGGAGGTACTTGACTCTGATCATTCAAGCCATATTCTGGAAGCCTGGTAGTTGTGAACTGGTTTGTTATCAACAGTGTTTATCATCCTCTTCAGTACCAAGCTGAGGCACAAATTCAGGTGGGCTGAGATGCATGAGAACAGACTTAAGCAAAATATCCATCTCCTGGCTTCAAACAGATACTGCTGAAAATCTCCTGAGGTACCTCATGAGCAAATGTCTTCACATATTTGCTAAATCTTTCTTCATTTGATCTGTGTCTCTCTGGCCTGGATTCTTTAGTGCAAGGCTGCCAGTGGCCATGGTCTTCTGGTACATCTGGAGGAAGCCCTGGTGACAACCAGCTCTGTAATTTAGGAGGCTCTGACTGCAGAGCTGCAGTGATTGAGCACATGCAAGACCAGTGGGTCTCCTTGACAGAGGTCAGGCTGAATCCATTATGGTCAGGAAAAGTAGTATCTCATGAGCTGAGACAAACATTTCCTTAAAAGTCAAAGGAAAAGGCTGTTTTTCAGGGACAAATTACCTTCTTCCATTCCTCCTTTGCATCTCTTTTATACGTACTGTTACTATAATGGACTACATTTCCAAAGGCTTTGGAAACCTGTTTTCAACATCTGTCTGAGGTCGTAAGAAAGAGGGATTTTAATAATTAAATTATATTGAGTGGATGTTTCCAAATGTAGCAAAACTACTTCCCATGAGAGTATAATTGGCAACCTCCACAGAGAAGCATGGTGGACATGATCCTTTTTTAACCAAGACGGACAGCAAACATAATACGTCTTGCAATTTCAGAAGCCATTTTTAACTTCTGTAATTCTATGCTGCACTAAAAGGGAAAACATATGGAGTGAAACAGGATGGCTCAGTGGAACCAATGTGTCACACCAAAAAAGGGCAAAGTCTCTACTTGACATCAATTGTTGGTTGAAACTTCACAATGGAAACTTGATGGAAACAAGAGGTACCACATTTCCCACAGCTACTCTCACAGGGATGTCCTTTTTTTGAATTGTTTATATTTTATCACAACATATAGAGGAACAGACATTGTGTCTAATTTTCATTAGCAAGTCTAATATTGGTCTATGTTTATAGGCTAGATCCAGAACAGAAGCCATATGTCTAGCAGGATAATTCAGATCCCCAAGACCTCAAAAAAATAGCTTGATTTAACAGATAGAAGTCTTCTAGGAAATGTCAAATTTATTTCGCTTCATAAGGAAACTGTTTCCATTTTCCACTTCATGAGAAAGTCCATACAACTTGCAGTATTGTTAAAAACTGTTCTTGAAATGGTTGTGGAATTTGGGAAGCCAAGAGATGTGATAATGTTGTCAAACATGATTTCCATTTATGGCTTGTTTTAAAAAAAGTAATGGATATTTTTCCAGCCAGAGTTACAAATGTTCATGTCAACAACTTTTTTCTCAAAGCTCAGTTTTGAAATTATATGTTTTTCATTACAATGCCTTCCCTGTTCTCATTTCCATCAGTCCCACTCCTAAAGGCCTAATTGCTTTTCTCTGTCATGACAGATGTTAACAAGTTGAATTACTGTCTTCCTTCCTTCCTTCCTTCCTTCCTTCCTTCCTTCCTTCCTTCCTTCCTTCCTTCCTTCCTTCCTTCCTTCCTTCCTTCCTTCCTTCCTTCCTTCCTTCCTTCCTTCCTTCCTTCCTTCCTTCCTTCCTTCCTTCCTTCCTTCCTTCCTTCCTTCCTTCCTTCCTCCCTTCCCTTTCCTTCCCTTCCCTTCCCTTCCCTTCTCTTCCCTTCCTCCCTCTGGCTGCAGGGCAAGAGTTGCTGGGCTGGGGGTGCTGTGGCAGCACCCTCATGGTGAGATTGACAGGAGGGGTTGTACATGGTGGTGGCTGCCAAAGAGCTGTCAGTGTTGAGAGACAAAGCTGTGCTGTGAGAACCTGCTGCGCCTGGGATAGAAAGGTGGGTGGGTGGTGGCCACAGGAGAGGAGAGATCAGGACATGAGACACCTTTGTTCCTGGGTCAGAGAAACTCCATCTTTTATCCTCCAGGTCTGAGTTGCCTCAGGGACTGGGCTGGTACCTATTGTGTTTATCCTCTTTTTTTGAGGCAGCTGCCCCAGGTAGCTATACTCTGCGTTTTAAATCATCCTAGTGAAGTCACCACTCATTTCTCTTCTGCATGTACAGGGGCAAAGGGGGATCCTATCTAAACATGAAGACCAAAGGGCACCTGGGGGCCACCTCCCATCATGCCTGTGTTACAACCTGCAGCTGCTCCTGCTCTCTGGCAGCACAGGGAGACAAAAGCAAGGGCCAGCTGTGTAGAGCATCACCATCCTGGACCAAACCACCAAGGTATCTATGGCTTCTCAGGTGTAACAGGTGATCTGAACTGCCATGGGAGGAGAAGGCTGCTAACAGCTCCCTGCCAAGACATAAAAACCATCCACACTTTACACCTTTGCCTTGCACTGGATTTGACTGCAATAAGATCAGTATTTTATAAACAGATGCCTCTCTGCAGTTCTGTATGTTAAGGCTGGATGTTTCTCAGGTGTTAAGAAGGTCTAGTCTAGGCTAAAAGCAAAACAAAGTTCTCTCCTGAATCACAAGTCATGCATGATTTTACTGTTTGACCTCAAGAGCAGTGGGGCAAAAGCCTCTGATTTCCCACCCACCTCACATCACCCTCTCACCCAACGCAGGGCTGGCAAAGGCATTGGCACTATCAAACAAAAGGTTTGTTCCCTCTTGTTAATCAAGGAATGCGGATGCATAAGGCAAAGTCACTTCCCACAGGAGAGAGGGGTGGTCCAAGCAGAGACTGTACATCTGAATAAGCACTGGGTTAACTCAGCCAGAACAAATTAGGACAAGACAAAAGGGACCAGAAAGGATTTTCTCAGTGTTTCTCCCCATTCTTTCTCTCCACACAATGAAATAAATAACTGTAGGCTACATGGGCAGGCTGCTAAACTATTTCAACACAACATTTTTCAGGCTTGAAATCTCCAATGAAAGGCAATCTTGTATTTTCTTCTGCTCCTAAGCCCTACAGTAAACATCAAATTGTCGTTCTCCATATATATATATTTAAAAGAAAAAAAAAAAAAGGGGGGGGGGGGGGGGGGGGTTCGATAAAAACGG